GGGACTTTTGCTGCTGCAGCAGGCCTCAAAGCTGCTGCTGAGTGTTCGCGCTGCACTGCGGGCAGCTTTTGCGGCTCCCGGGGCCTGACGCAGCCCTCGGGGCTTTGTGCTGCAGTAAGTGTCTCCTTGCTGCAGCAGCTGTCTCCTTGCTGCAGCAGCTGTCTCCTTGCTGCAGCAGCTGTCTCCTTGCTGCAGCAGCTGTCTCCTTGCTGCAGCAGCACCGGCCCTGCTGCAGCAACTCTCTCCCTGCGCAAGTAAATGGCTCCCTGCTGCAGCACCTGTCCCGCTGCAGCAGCACCAGCCCTGCTGCAGCGCCTTTCTTCCTGCTGCAGTAAGGGGCTCCTTGCTGCAGCAGCTGTCTCCTTGCTGCAGCACCAGCAGCCCTGCTGCAGCACCTGTCTCCTTGCTGCAGTGAGGGGTTCCTTGCTGCAGCAGCGGTCTTGCTGCTGCTGCAGCTCCCTCCTTCCTGCAACAAGTGGCTCCTGTGCTGCAGCAACAGTCTCCTTGCTGCAGCAACTGTCTCCTTTGCTGCAGCTGCTCTCTCCTTGCTGCAGCAGCTCTCTCCGTGCTGCAGCAGCTCTCTCCTTGCTGTAGCGGCTCTCTCCTTGCTGCAGCACCTGTCCCCTTGCTGCAGCACCTGTTCTCTTGCTGCAGCACCTGTCCCCTTGCTGCAGCAACTGTCTCCCGCTGCTGCAGCAACTGTCTCTAGCTGCTGCAGCAACTGTCTCCAGCTGCTGCAGCCAGTGTCTCCTGCTGCTGCAGCAAGTGTCCCCTTTTGCTGCTGCAGCTGTCTCCTTCAGTTTTCCTCTGTCTCCTCATTTGGCTTCTGAGGTGTCTCCTTTTGTCTCCTTCAATCCTTTTTTTATTTTTCTGTCTTATTTTCTTTTGTCTCCTTTTGTTTCGTTATTTGTCTCTTTTTATTAAATCTCTTTCATTGTCTTTTTGTCATTTCTTTTATTCCTCGCCAAATGCCGTATCCTGCTGCTTTTGCTGCTGCTGCTGTTGCTGCTGCTGCTGCTTTTCCTGTCGCTGCTGCTGCTGCTGCTGCTTCAGGGGTTCTACTGCAGCGGCGGGGCGTGGACACCTGCGCCTCACCCCGAGGAGACAAATCCGGATGCTGCTGTTGCTGCTGCTGCTGCTGCTGACTCTGCTGCTGCTGCTGCTGCTGCTGCAGTGGGGGGCCCCTGTCCTGTGGGGTTTTACTGCCCCGCGGGGACAGCTTCTCCCATTGCCTGTCCGGAGTAAAGGAGACACTAAAGCAAAATAAATAATAAATTAATTATTTTAAATTAATTTAAATTAATTAATTAAAATTAATTAATTTAAAGTGATTTAAACTGATTTAGAAGCACAAGTCCAAGTGTCCCTTTTTGTCCCTTCCAAGTAAACAACTCCAAGTGTCTCCTTTTGCCCCATTTTTTCCCTTACAAATAAACTAATTAACCAAGTGAATTAATTTAATTATTTATTTAATTAATCAATTTAATTAATTAATTAATTAATTAATTAATTAATTAATTAATTTGTTGTTTCTGCAGAGGGACAAGTTCGAGTGTCTCCGGGGGCCGCAGCGCAGCAGACTGTCTCCCCTGTTTGCCGGGTCTCTTTTGTTCTGCTGCTGCTGGCTCTGGCAGCTGCAGCAGCGGCTACTACTGCAGCAGCAGCAGCAGCAGCAGCAAACCCTCCAGCAGCAGCCAGGGAGGCATCTGCCCCGAGGGACACTTCTGCCCAGAAGGCTCTTATGTCCCCCAAGTTAGTCTCCTTTTTATTTCATTTTTGTCTCCTTTTATTTCATTTTTGTCTCCTTTTATTTCTTTTTTGTCTCCTTTTTATTTCATTTTTGTCTCCTTTTCATTTCTTGTTTGTCGCCTTTTATTTCATTTAGTGTCTCCTGTTTATTTCTTTTTTGTCTCTTTTATTTCATTTAGTGTCTCCTCTTTGTTTCATTTCTGTCTCTTTTTATTCCTCTTTTGTCTCCTTGTGTTTCTAAAATAAATAACTGAACAAATCCCTAAACAAATAAAACAAATCCAACGAAACAAATAAACCAAACAAGACAATCAAACAAAACAAACAAATAACACAATCAAACAAAACAAACAAAACAAATAAGTCAAACAAATCAAATAAACAAGTAAATCAAATCAAACAAAACAAACGAAACAAACAAAACAAATAAAACACACAAAACAAATAAAACACACAAAACAAACAAACAAACAAAACAAACAAATCACATGAACAGAACAAGTAAACAAACAAACAAACAAACAAACAAACAAACAAACAAACAGAACAAATAAGCAAACAAACAAACGAACAACACCTTTTGCGTGTGCATGCATGCAGCCGCACAGCCTCTGCTTAATAACAAAATAACTAAATAAACAAACAAAAAAACAAAAAAACAAACAAACAAGCAAACAAACAAACTTCTCTGTGTGCGCATGCAAGCAGCCCTGCGGGCCCTGTTTACAAATTAAACCACCAAAAAACCCAAAAAACCAGAAACAAAAGCAGAAACCGAACAAACCAACAAACAAACCTCTTCCGTGTGCATGCATGCAGCCCCGCGGGCCCTATTTAGCAAGAAAACCATCCAAAAAAACCCAAAAAACGCACAAAAACGAACCAACAAACACACCTTTTCGTGTGCATGCATGCAGCCCTGCGCGCCCGGCTTCTGGAGCGAGGTCGGCGCCGCCAAGTGTCTCCTTTGCGCACCAGGCAGCGCATGCACTGTCTCCAAACTGCCAGCCCCAAACTTGCTTTGCCCCGCAGGATCTGCATGCATGCAAGGCGCGGCTTTCCCGCGGCCGTGTGCGCCGGGGCTGCTGGCGGCGAGCCGCGGCTCTGCGGCCTGCGAGCCCTGCTCCCGTAACCCCAAACCCTAAACCCTAAACCCTAAACC